TTAATATGCTAGGAATGTATAATTATGGTGATAAGACTAATTATGTTAATTATGTCTTTTTGGGGGGCAATTTTATGATGCATAAAGCAAGATAATTGATGATACAGCTAACAGCAAGGATACATTGTAGCCATAGCTTACAGGTGTGTTTGTCACTGAATTATGCTCAAAAGAACTGTTTCAAGACATCTCATAAAACTCCTTTAAAAAATAATTGAAAGGTAATAGAGCGTGGAAACACTATGTCCAAGTCCTCTACTATTCTAAGTTCAGAGTTCTTACCATAAATATTTGCATATAAGCAACAGCTGCTACATAGCAGTAAATTGTGTGAATTTTGAACAAAGCACAGCCTGATTTCTAAGTTTGCTGTCTTTTAAATACCTATACAAATTGGTTTTGTAATTCAACCCTGCAGTTCATTTATGTTGACCGACTTTGGCACATTCAGTTGGCTGAGACAACATAAATAATGGGTGTTTGTATCATGCAAGCAAGTGGCTATTTGTGCAAGTGGTTTGGACAGATCCATAAACAGATCACCTATAATCTCATAAAGCCTATGCAAATTCAGCAACTCTAACCTAGATATAAGAACTCTTTGCTTTAGGTTGTTTCGTTTGTTTATTTTCTTTTTTCTTAGAGACAATGTTAAAACACATTAGATTTGGTTCCTTTAGAACAGTCCATATTTTCATTTCTATAGTAGCAGGACTGACAGGGCTTGGAGCCCTTTGCTGTTCAATAGCAGTCTCACCAGATTTCCACTGTGATCAACTGCAGGGAAGCAGGGGCCTTTCTGTATCCTAGAATAATAAAATCATAAAATCATAGAATGGGTTGTGTTGGGAGGTACCTTGAAGATCATCTAGTTCCAATTCCCCTGCGATGGGCAGGGACACCTTCCAGTAGACCAGGTCGCTCAAAGCCCCATCCAGCCTGGCCTTGAACACTGCCAGGCCACAATTTCTTTGGGCAGCCTGTTCCAGTATCTCACCACTCTCATAGTGAAGAACTTCTTCCTAATGTCTAATCTAAACCTACCCTTTTTCAGTTTAAAGCCATTCCTCTTTTTCCTGTCCCTACGTGCCCTTGTAAAAAGTCCTTCAACTTTCTTGTTGACTCCTGTAGGTACTGGGAGGTGGGTCTAATGTCTCCCTGGAGCCTTCGCTTCTCCAGGCTGAACAACCCCAGCTCTATCAGCCTGACCAAAGGTGAGGTGCTCCAGCCCTTGGATCATCTTATGCCCTCCTCTGGATTTGCTTCAACAGGTCCATCATACATTTTCTGTGATTTGGTGGGATGTGAAGCTGTAGTGAGCAGCATAGGAGTTCTGATTCTGAATAAGTGAAGAGGTAGTATTAATAGCCTTACTATTTGTTCCCAAATCTTTTAGCAAGGACATTTCAGATTTATGGGGAAAGCAGCCATGGTTCAGTGAAAGCTAAGCCTTCTTCCTGAGGCTGCTCATTCATGAAGACTAACTGGGGATAAAACTACTGGAAGCTAGACCAGACCCCAAAACTGTTCAGAACACTAGGACAAAACCTTCTAAATCCCAAATTGCAAGTTTGCTTGCTCTTCCACTGAGCTTTCCATTTGCCATTTTCTGTAAGGCAAAGCTGAACCTGTGCTGTAGAGTCTAAGATGTTTGTTTATCAAGTCTACCAGTTATATCAGAAGAAACGAGTCTTTTGACTGTCAGTCTTTTCTTAACAGCCAAGTATCTAAAATAATACATAGGAGTAATGTTTTTCCACAAAGTATCTTTCACTGGTGTAGTTTCAGAAGTAGCTCAGTTATAGCTCTTCAAAGTATTTAATGTATTTTTAATATATTCTACCCTTAAAATCAGCTGGACTCAAATGTGCTAGTACTGCAGTTAGGAAATTTACAGCATTTTGTTGCCTATGAAAATTTTGCCAAGATATCAGTGGGAGGAGAAGCAAACCCATTTCATGGACACACGACTGACACTGACATCTTGATAAAGTGTGACTTTAATCAGTGAACTCTATAGGAGTGCATCATTTTCCAAGTTATGCCCTGATATCTCATAAATCATGTTTTGAAAAATGCAGTAGCTGTTTTGTACTCATTCCTTCCAGTTCACAAAACATTTCAGCCACTTAATTCCCCTCTGGGACTTCCACTGAGGAAAATGCATAAAGCGCATTGGGTTAGTCATGAGTAATTTCACTTTCCCCCACAGCCCTGCTATTTCAGAACACCCTTTGGGCACTTAAAGTGGGATCCTCCTCATCAAACTTCAGATGCCCTGAAGTAGTGGTGTTCACTCTCAGGAAAGCCTGTGGGCTCCTCATGTAGACAGTGCAGACTGTGGTTCACTGCAGATGAGAATAATAGGCATCAAGGTTGGGTTGAGTAAGTTGGTGTCTGGACATAGCCACTTGCCTCCACTGACTGTAGAGGGAGCCAAGAAAATTTGTGAAGCCTGGTTTTGCAGGCTGGCAACTGCAGTTGGGTGGGAGAAATCATACTTCAACCAGGTGCAGGATTCAGATGTTTAACATTGGCTTGAGGGTTCTGAAACTTTGTACGTGGATTTGATATTAGTGGCAAAGCCATAGCCATGATATGAACAACTAGACTGAGGGCCAGGCTTAGAAGTTGTTTACACACAAGCTTTTTCCCCCTTACCATTTTAAGTTTCCTTTCCAATCCTCTTTTATAAGACTTTAAAAATATAGTTAAGTATCTTTGCTTAAAAGACATTATAGGTACCCTCCCCTACAAGAAGAGAGAATGGAGGAATGAAATTGCCACAGAGGGTTTCCATTACTGAAATTAATTCCTCTCTCATAAGAATTTAGGTCTATGATTTATGATAACCACCAGTTTCTCACTGCAGGCAAAGTGAGAGGAAATGACTCAGCCTGGACAGACATCATGAATCTAATTTTTTTCCCCCTAATGCTTGACATAATCTAGTGTGCTGCTCCCGGAGGTGTCATTGGAGATTCATATCCAGCCAAAGGGCCTCACAATCAAGGCAGAAAATGTTGTTACTTTTATGTATTGTGTGATCTATAATTGTTTGGAATTGCATCCTGCCTCATTCATTGCCATTTCTTTTGCATCAGTTTTGCAGCAAAAAGCAAGGGAGAGAAAAGCAGTGTTGCACTTGCCTCTTCAGAAAGATCTGTGACATCATCTTAGGGTCCAGCTGGTGCTTATTAAACTCAGGCAGTTTTGAGATGGAAAATG